GGGATGACACACCAAGGTGAGAGGGACGGGGTGCTAGCAAGGCCCCTCAGTCTGTTGCATGAGAGAAAGACCTCAGAGGATCTAAAGGAGGTTCCTCTAAGAGGGTGACACAACCGACAGCCCAGCTGAGGTGCCTCTACATCAATGCACACAGCACGGGCAACACACAGGAGGAGCTGGAAGCCATCGTGCTGCTAGAAAGCTATGACCCTTACTGAAACTTTGTGGGATGAATCTCATGAGTGGAGTGCAGCTATTGATGGCTACAGGCTGTTCAGAAGGGGCAAGTGAGGAAGGAGGCATGGAGGCGTTGCCCTCTACGTCAAGAAATGGATGGAGTGCAAAGAGCTGTCTCTGAGGAACAGCCATGAGCAGGCTGAAAGCCTACGGGTAAGCATCAGGGACCGAGGCAACAAAGGGAATCATGTGGTTCGTGTCTGCTACAGGCCACCCGACCAAGAAGAGTCTATTGATGAAGCCTTCTCACTCCAGCTCCAGGAAGCATCACGCTCACAGGCTCTCATCTTGCTAGGGGATTTTAACCACCCTGATATCTGCTGGAAAAGTAGGAAAGCAAGCTGTAGGCAATCCAGAAGACTCCTGGAGTGCATGGAGGAAAACTTCCTATGCCAGGTAATAGACCCTCACCAATGCATGTGAGCTAATTGGTGACCTCAAGATTGGAGGCAACCTGGGCTGCAGTGGTCATGCACCGGTGGAGTTCACAGTCCTGAGGGACAAGGGGCAAGCAAAAAATAAAGTTAGGACCTTGAATTTTAGGAAAGCAAACTTCCAGCTCTTCAGGGATTTTGTCAATAGGGCTCCCTGGGAAACTGCCCTCAAGGATAAGGGAGCAGAACAGAGCGGGCAGATCTTTAAGGATGCTTTCCATAGAGCACAAGAGCTCTTGATCCCCAGGTGTGAGAAACCAGGAAAGGAAGGCAAGAGGCTGGCATGGCTGAGTGGACAAACCTGGTGGGCAAACTCAAGGGCAAGAAGGAAATGCACAGGCAGTGGAAGCAGGGACGGGTATCTTGGGAAGAGTACAGGGACACTGCCCAGTTTTGTAGGGATGAGGTCAGGAGGGCCGAGGCGTGGCTGGAGCTGAACTTGGCAAGGGATGCAAAGAATAATAAGAAGGGCTTCTACAGGTATGCCAGCCAGAAAAGGAAGGTCACAGAAAGTGTACCCCCCTTCATGAGCAAGACTGGCAGACTGACAACAACGGATGAGTAGAAGGCTGAGGTACTGAACGATTCCTTTGTCTCAGTCTTCACTGGCAGTGTCTCTTCCCACACCTCTCGAGGGGATGGACTGCAAGAGGGGGACTGGAGGAGCAAAGTCCCTCCCACTGTAAGAGAAGATGAGGCTTGAGACCCCCTGAGGAACCTGAACGTGCACAAGTCTATGGGACCTGATGAGATGCATTCCAGAGTCTTGAAGGAAATGGCAGATGTGATTGCTAAGCCACTCCATGATACTTGAAAAGTCCTGGCAGTCAGGTGAAGACCTTGGAGACTGGAAACAGGGAAACATTGCACCCATTTTTTTAAAAAGGTAGCAAGGAGGACCCTGGGAACTACCAACTCGTCAGTCTCTCCTCTGTGCCTGGAAAGATCACAGAGCAGATCCACCTAGAAGCTATGCTAAAGACACATGGAGGGCAGGGAGGTGATTCGAGACAGCCAGCATGGCTTCACCAAGGGCAAGTCCTGCCTGACCAACCTAGTGACCTTCTAGGATGGAGTGACCACATCAATGGACAAGGGAAGAGCTACCGATGTTGTCTATGTGGACTTCTGTAAGGCCTTTGACATGATTCCTCACAACAGCCTTCTCTCTAAATTGGAGAGACAAGGATTTGATGGGTGGACTGTTTGGTGGATGAGGAATTGGTTGTATGGCCACATCCAGAGGGTAGTGGTCAACAGCTCAATGTCTAGATGGATATTGGCGATGAGTGGTGTCCCTCAGGGGTCCATATTGGGACCAGTACTCTTTAATATCTTCATCAGTGACATAGTGGGATCAAATGCACGCTCAGCAAGTTTACAGATGACACCATGAGGCCATCCAGAGGGACCTCAACAAGCTCGAGGAATGGGCTCATGTGAACCTCATGAGGTTCAACAAGGCCAAGTGCAGGGCCATGCACCTGGGTTGGGGCAACCCCCAGTATCAGTACAGGCTGGGGGATGAAGGGATCAAGAGCAGCCCTGCTGAGAAGGACTTGGGGGTCCTGGTGGACAAAAAGCTGGACATGAGCCAGCAATGTGCGCTCACAGCCCAGAAAGCCAATCATATCCTGGGCTGCATCCAAAGCAGCGTGGCCAGCAGGGAGGGGATTCTGCCCCTCTGCTCCGCTCTGGTGAGACCCCACCTGGTGTCCTGCATCCAGCTCTGGAGCCCTCAGCACAGGAAAGACATGGACCTGTTGGAGCACGTCCAGAGGAGGGCCACCAAAATGATCAGAGGGATGGAACACCTTTCCAATGAGGACAGGTTGAGAGAGTTGGGGTTGTTCAGCCTGGAGAAGAGAACGCTGCAGGCAGACATTCTTGCAGCCTGCCAGTACTTAATGGGGGCCCATAAAAAGATGGGGACAGACTTTTTAGCAGGGCCTGTAGCAATTAGGACAAGGGTTTTAAACTAAAAGAGGGCAGATTTAGACTAGATATAATCTTTCACAATGAGGGTGGTGAATCTTTGGCACAGGTTGCCCAGAGAGGTGGTACATGCCCCATCCCTGGAAACATTTAAAGCCAGGTCAGAGTGGGCTCTGAACAACCTGATCTAGTTGAATATGTCCCTGCTCACTGGAGTGGGGTTGGACTAGACGACCTCATAAGGTCCCTCCCAACTCAAAGATTCTATGATTATATGATCCTATGACTGTAAATTATGTAACTTTTGGCCACATTAGATTTCCTAAAAGTTATTGATTCAATTCCTAAATATTTGTGGAATAGTCGGGCAGATAACTAATTTGTTTATATTTGTTAATGGACTTGACTAGCGCTAGATTTTCTCATTTAATGCCTATGAATTGAAAGTGATAACAACACAGTGTTAGTGTACCAGAAAACTGACAAAAAAGCCTAGTTAACTGATTCCACATTTATATCATTCACAGATAAGGGTTTTGAATTAAACTAACAAGTCTTGGTAAAGCTGCTTGGAAACTCAAGTCCCTGCTACCTCAAGCAGGGCACCCAAAAACTGTAGCAACACATGGTCTTGAGGCCTTGAGGCTTCCATTCCTTATCTGAGGAACTGAATGACACAACCTTAGGTCAGAAGTACTGTGAAAATGAAGACATTTATGTTTCTGAAGTACTCATACAGTGAAAAAATGTTGATGAACAAAATCAAAAATCCACAGAAAAACTAGCATTCTGTTTTTAGAGCAGAACAAAATGGCACAAGCCAGACATGAATCAGTTAAAGGAAAACAAACTATTTAGTAGCAGATCAGTGAAGAAATACAGGACATTCTCTGCACTGAATGAAGCTGGGGGGAGGTGGGAAAACAACAGCATTAAATTTGTATGCCAAGGCAACCCAAGAGTATCTCAAACAACTTCAGTTCTGGAATTTCCTAATGTTCATGTGCTTGACTTTTCAAAATAGGTACCATTTTCATCTGTTTGCATTTGTGCTCTGTGTGTGTAGCAAAAAGAGAAAAAGTGTGCACACAATGTAACTGTGATAAATAAATATACTCAAACTAAATATATACAATACAAAGGATTTATAAAATGTTACCTTTGGGGATTGAACTCTATTTTTACAAGCCCAATTCAGATGCTACTTAGTCCATTCTAATGTTTATATCACTTACTTTATATTCCTCCCACAACAGCTCATTAACGAAAAAAAACCCAATTTTTAGTTTTACATTTTCTTTACAAATATCCTGTGTTTATTGTATAACAAACCAGAAAAAAGTGATAGTAATTTCCCACACAGTGACATTTTCACTGAAGAAACTATCATATTTGCTAGGGTACAGTGGACTCTTTCAAGAAAATGAATTGTAATTTCCACTATGAAATATTTCTAAGTAATTTTTTTAGGAAACTCTTCTGAAAGCATAAACACATTTGCAATGATAAAGAATGAGTAGTTTTGGAAATGTTTATCCAATGGAATCTAATTTACTTGGGTCAAAAGTGTGTCTCACCATAAAGCTTTCCCATCCAGGAAGATCAATACATGTAGAAAACTGTCTGTGTGCAGTTATTTCTGCACACGCCTCTTACTTTAGGACAGAGTAACTTCATGATGACCTATGCAGATCAGAAATGAAACGTCTCCCTGACTGCCTCCAAAGATCACAGTTTTCTGAATCAAACTGAAGTTTTGCCCAATATTCTTTTTTTTTTTTTCTTCACTAATGAACGCTGACTGGGATTAGCAGACTCCCACTTACTCTGAAAGCAGGGGCAAATTCCACACTATCTTACCTCTAACAAGAATAAACATCAGAATGATTCCAAGTTCCTTTAGAAGAAGCTCACAGCTGTAATAAAGTACTTCTCATTTCAGTATTACAGAGTATACTTGTATTTTGTTTGCCCTAACCAGATGAGTTAAAATACCCAATGCAACATTAGACACAAACGCAAAAATTAATCTCTCTGTTACTTTTATTTCACAGTAAAGCGATACACAACTGCCACGGTTCGTTAATCTCGGGCGTAAAGGGAAACGTGATTTCCTGGGAAATGGAAGAGGAATTGGTGGTGGTAATTTTTTTTCTTGTCTTTCTCCGCCACCTAGTGGTGACACTACCAGGGCTCCCTCTTAAAACTGCGCACTACTCGCACGCCAAGAATTCACACGCTATTAAACATGTTCCGCTGACACGCCATAAAACGCCTTTGCCTCTTCCACGCGCTTTAAGGTCATTGATGCCGAACTCTGTGTAGGGCATACTGAGATCCCTGATCACCTAGTCTGTGGGTGTTACCAAAGTAAACAGATTAAATGGTACTTACCTGCAATTAATGTTTTTTTCTTCTCACAAAACTGTAGCTCAAAATATTTTATAAAACGGCTGGAAAAATCATTTAAGGGTGTCTTAGCATGTCCGAAGGCCTCCAAGATACAGTTTACCTGCAAGACAATGGTAAAGAAGTAATAAGAGATTAAATAAACAGGAAGATAATTTAATAAACATCAATGGGGTTGGTTTGCGATCAATAACTGGGAAAAAATAAAAGACCACTTTTCAGCTTGGAATTTAACACATTCCTTGAAAGATTTTTTTCTAAATACAAATTAAAGTAAGATAGCTTGAAAGAAAAAAAATAGTGCTGTCAGAGTAGTGGAAGTTGTAAATGGAAGGGGAAGACAATGGCTCACACCTGACCTGTGTTCTTACAGGTAGTTGGGATACAAGTGACTGGAGTCATATGCCCAGAGCTGGCCATGCTTAGCAAAAAGATTAGAGTCTTTGAAAGCAGTTATGCTTGTAAAGTTACAGTCAGTTGATACTGATAACCAGACAGAGGAATTTAGAAGCTTTATACGATGCCAGAAATGGCATAAATGACTGATTTCAGATAGAATTACTTCAGTATTACAATAATAAAACAGTGAGGAAAAAAACGGATTCTGATTTTTTAATGGCATCTCTCACTAATGCATTTCCATGTTATATTTTCCTGGTCACAGCAATTATTTTTAGATTATTAAAATTTTAGAAAATAGTAAAATATTAAATATTCCATCTTTAATTCATGTTTTCTCTGTATTTACCTTTTTAATGTATAATTATTTCCTTATGCTACATGGATTCTCTTCAGCATTTTCCTCTTTTGCATCCTAAGAAATTGATTGCAATGTGGCCTCAACAGACTATTGTTCTGATGAAACCATGGTTTGCTGAAGCTGGATGACCTAAATGGGGAGAAGTAGGAGGAAAGAGGGCCGTGGAGTGGCACAGATAATATGTGGCTCTAATCACAAAGACAGAAGCTCTAAAAATCAGACCCTTCAGAATTATTAATCAAACCAGCTATTTGTGCAGTAGGTGGCAGCAGAAAACTAGTCAGGCTAGTTTTTCTTCCACTCCAGAAGCATTGTTTAGCACATATTTGCTCATTAGGCTAATTCAGCACTTGGTTTAACTTGTGCAGCTTTATTAACTTTAATAGGGTTATGCATAACTGCAAGAGGCATGAATTCAGGCTACTGTCTTCATTAAAGCACCATCTAAGGCAACTAAACCAGAATCTCTACTTGATTCTCCATGGGTGGGATTTGCTGCATCTACCTTCACTGTCTAAAGTCAGGGGTCCCATCTAAGTTAGTTACAAAGGATCTTTCTACGATCAAACAGTAACACATTTTTCTTAATATGTGATGATTCTCGTCTGCCCGCATTGACTAAGGCTCATTGACACATATGTCTGCATCTATACTATTAAACTAAACAGGACCAAGAGCAGGACCCTCTATCCTCTATGGTAAGTGGCATGGTAAGGTTCACATTCAGACATCTACCTCTTCTTTTGTAGAATAGGGTGGACATACTGTTGTGAATGGTCCCTGGCACATGCTGCCCTCTGAACCTGTTGGGGATTTAAACTGTGTCACAGAGCCGTAACAACCGCATGTTACGTATTGTTGTTCAGTTTACGACATAGAGTAGGTTAATAGTCTACAAAGTTAACTAACTTTTAGGTGGAGAAAATTACACCTGTTCAGCCCCTTCCCACACTGATTCCTCTTCTTAACCGAGCAAAACATCTTATTTCATTTGCACTGGATCATGATGGTTGTCCCTGGGAATATTCCTGTGGTCAGGATACAAGTTGCAGCAGAGACAAGACTACTTCCCACACCTCCTGATTCTTACTGCTGCCATATTTGTATCCAAAACACACAGTTTTCAGTTGCCTATTCACAAAGCTACTTATTTATTTAGTTCTTCTACTCATTACTGAACCTGAACTTTAGGAAGGAAAAAGACTTGGAGGATCTGACCGGAATTTTGCAGTTCTACTTGAATAACATCGGTGAACCGATCAGTTCAAAACTGTAAGTAAACCTCTGTAGGTAATAGGTAAAAAAATACGTGGTAGAAATAGGTATCACTTGTAGGACTCCTGGATTTAAAATAAAAGTAAAATAAAAGTGTACTTTCCCTATATAATGGCATTATTGCAACACTAAACTTTAAAATTTAGATTAAAAAACTGAAAAAATAACAAGGGTATTCTTAACACCGCCACATGAAATCTAGATTAAATGTGTCAGTTTAGGAACATCATCAATGAATCAGATAACATTGTGAAAAACACTTGAACGTGGTAATTTTATGACCACACGAAGTAAGGTAAAGCTACAGCTTATTCATTTGTAGTGTTTTCAGTGTCAGCAGGCTTTTTTAATGTCTTCAGAAAACACACATGCAAACTTCTTTTCTAAAATCCAACCAAAATCCATAGAACTTTTATTACCTTATCATCTGGAATGTACAAAATATGAACCAGTGTATCTGTAGGCTTTTCCACATGCCAATAATCCTGATTTGTAGGTTGTCTGCTAGTGTCAGCTGTACTTCTGACACTCTTTTATCATCTTGTTGGACTGACTCATGCATATTTCAGGAAGAAAGAAGTGTGTTTTGAATGATGCATGTGATGCTATTAAAAATAACCAGAACAAATGATTCTAGAGTTCTGTTGGATATCATGCATGTGGCAAGAGAAAGCTAAAAAAACCACATAACTTGGGTTGACTGTAAGTGCTGTAGAGGAAGATCATCAGAGTGGGTAAAAGAGTCCAAACATATTTTTTTTAAAGTATGAACTTCAGAGCTGAGTTATGACAATGCAGACTGTGCTAAAACACTGCATGTAAACCTGTCTCTGATCTAGGATCTCCGATGAGAAGTTTCATCAGGAAAGGCAATTTTTGGAAAGAATTTGAATTGGCAATCTGGTGTTCAGCATAGTTTAAAATGGCAGCATGAACCTTTATAGTAGTGTTACAGCTGTAACAGTGAAACATGAGTTGCAATGTTCAGACAAATGAAAACTTTACATTTACAGCGTTCTAGAGACAAATTCATCTGATACGCGAAGGAGGTTCTCATGATTTCATGTTACGTGTTGGGCAGAATTTGGTTTTGCTGTGGGAATTAAATATGACCGAGCAAATATTCAGAACTCTTGCCTATTTCATAAGTATATTTAGTATATAAATACTGGGCCATGTAACTTTGTTCAGTCTTTGCAGCTTTCCAGTTTCTGTCTTACATGCTGTTACTTCAGATGCCTCAGCACTTCTTACTGAGAAGCATGACCGCAACCATACAGATAAACTTATTTCCTGACTGAAGGTAATTAGTACACATTTAGGAGACAGTACCTTATCACACAAATGTTTCCTATTCACTGAAACACTGCTTTCCAAAGTCACCAAAACACACAGCAACAAACCTGGCCTCCACTTTTTGGTTTCCTCTCATCACATCAATGTGAGCTTAATCCTGCTCCCATTCAGGCGAATTCAGGGAACGAAACTTCCTTTGACTTCAGTGGTGAAAACAAACCCTTTGTGAACTGCATAGCAGATGCCTTTTTCCTTACGGTTCAAATGCCTTTGCCTATCCAAGAGGCCAGATTTTTGCTTTGTTCTATTCAGTGATCAGAATGGTACTTACATGTTTTATCTTTGTATCAAAGGTGTTTCTGCTGGAGCTGGCTCTGCAAACAAGGTGCTTCACTATCTGTTTGCAGGCTTCGGTCTTCCCAGAACCACTTTCTCCACTGAAAGATGACAGGCAAGAAAGAGAGGGGGGAATCATTGTTACTTTCACATTTGATATGTTATTTATGTTCCCTGCTAGCTCTGTTTGCATGGATTTAAGATATCTCAGTCAAACTTTCATTTCAAATAAGAGGAGGTTTATGGATGGCAAATAATAAAGAACAGAACATAGAAGAGAGACTGGCTGACTGTCTATGTTCATGAGGGCTGTCAGAGCTGTCAAGCTATATGGTCTTGTACCACAAGCCAAGCCAATCAAATCTAAAGCTTTAAAGCCATTTTGAAGGTATTTATGGCAAAGATTTTATGTCCTCCTTTATCTTCTGTCCAGCAAAGGAGCCTGCTTATGCTGCCTGGTTCTCTTTGCAGATGGGGAAATACTACTGTGGTAACGATGGGAGTCAGAAGGAAAGGAAAGTGTGATACAATAGGAAGAAGGTAAAGGAAATAGGAAAGGGGTGGGGGGGTGGGGAGAAAAAGATGATTGATTTTACAACCTGCCCAGTTTCTGCAGTGCTATACACTCTGACTTCAGTGATCCTATTTCACTTAATTTCTTGTTCATGATGTGGAATAAATATTCCAAAGAATGAGAATCTCTGTGGGGGAAAATGAGCAAAGAAAACAAGGTAAAAGGCAATATGAACAATGAAGGTAGGAAGATACAACAGAAAAGTGGAGGGATAGAGGAGGGAAGCAAACTCAGTTCTGCACTTTGAGCATGGAGAAGGAAGGAAAAGATGCAGAAGAGATGGAAAAGACAAAGTTAGTGAAGCCTGATTAAGAAATTAATGTAAGAATTTCTTACGTAAATTATAAGAATTTGTTTTCTTTATAGACAACTGAACCAAACAAAATGTAATTGACGCTCCTCCTTCATTTATCTGCTTGATCAAATTTAAAAGTTTTTTTCTACAACAGCCAATTAAATTTTTCACAAGTACAATGGCCACGCTTCTTGGTCCTTCTGTTATCTGTATAGTTTGCTTTCTGAAAATGAGAGGGCAGCAAAATATGGTATCTGTCTGGCCATTGCTTTATCTATTCAAATCTCACTTCAAAGGAGAAATCAATTAAATAAAGGAAGAAACAAAAAAGGGAAGAACAAAAAGGTCTTTGTACTCAGGCAGGGAGGGGATCTCTGCACCGCTCATTTTCATTCAACTCTTACAGGACATACCTGCAGCTCTGGTGAATGTCTTATTTGTTTACCTGGTAAACTGTAGTCTTAGGTGACAAGACAGATATCTCATTACTATATGTGATGTGTCAAACTGTTTTTATCTATGTTCTCCACGTTCTATAATGAGTTGGAGTCTGACCCAGGACTTCAAACTCCTATTGACATCAGTAGGAGGTTTACGGTCCAAGACTGCAAAGGTTTGCAACCTGGATATATGTTATGCAAAGACCTCAAATAACGGGTCACAAAGCCATATTTAAACCAGGGCTTACAATGAAGGAAACCATGTGAAGTCCAGAAGGTCACTGTCACAGCTAATATGAAGCTAGTATCACTACACGATTGACAAGGTGTTCCATAAGAGCACTATCCCTTGCTCAGACCTTCAGCTTCTGACTTCAGAGTTTCGAAGGCCACATGATACTTGATGTTACCCTCTAAAATCTGCATGCATCTCTGCCCTCTTAACAACGACTTCACTCTCCAAATGTTAATTGTACCTTGCTGCCTCTGTTCTTAAGAATTAGGATTAACTTTCTGTCTTTATAATGGTATTGTCCAAATTCTGTGTTCCTTTGCTAGTTATCACTAACAGGAACAGAAAAAAGTGAACGGGGCATTAGTCCTGTGATACTCTTCCCCCTAGAGGAATTTCATACTCTTGCAAATTACTGATCTTATGCCTGTATTGTCCAGAAAGTCAGTGAGCTTACAGACAGATATAAATTTCTCTTTCCACCTATCTTGCCCCACCTCATGCCATCTCCTATTGCCCACTCACACTGGCCACTCCACTGGCACCTGTATGTCATGATGATGAAAGAATCTTGTCCTTCCACAACATACTTAATCCAAAAATCACCTCTGCAACCTGCTATCACTATACCACAGGTTACCAACTGGATTAGCAACAGTGTCTCTTTGGTTATTTCGGCTGTTAAGGAACATTTCTGAAGGTCAGAACAGTTACAGATGATGCCACTGAGCAGAAGTGTTCATATATGTTTGAAAATCAGATCTGAAATAATTCATAGTTTCTAACAACTCACAACTTGTCCAATGTGTACTGCCCTTTATATCCAGCAGACAAATATTTGTATCATTCTGAGCGCTGAACAAGGCTTGATATTTAACAAATTGTTGTAGTATTTTATTATTTTGCTTGCTTATGCCCAACTTCATCTGCCAAAAATAGCTTCTTTAACAGAAGGCCTTTCCAGGATTAGCAGCGTGGGTGTATTTTTCAAAAAAAACTTTCTCACAACTGGAGAAATTAGGGAGGTAGGGCAGAAGGGGTGCTAAAATAACATTTCCTGTGCATTTGATTTCGAGTATTACAAAGCAGACATGCAAATTATAATTAAAAACAGAAAAATGCCTTCTTAAATAAAGGAACTGGACTGTTTGTCATGAGTTTCCCCACTTAAAAATTATTTTGATTCACTTTTTAAATAAAGCTACATTTTGTTTTTCACTGCAAGCTAACTGTGGCCCAGATAACACAGGACCATGCAAGGGTGCATAAAGTAGACTGTTTCTGTCCCTTCCTGAGTATTTCTTCCGAAGATTGCTGTTTCCTAAACACTGTAGTGACACAGCTACAAAGATTCGACACTCTCAGCTCAAGTGTTACTTTTACAGTGATTGACATTCTGTCTAGCGGTGTCACAGGAGCTTGCTGGCTATAGTGGTTGCTAGAGTACAGTTCAGGGGTCAGAATGCACTAGAACGTGGTTGCTGAGAGACACGTCATTTGGTTGTTCTGTGCATTTCAAAAGGATATGCATATACTCCTGGTGAAATACAGGTTGAAGCACTGAGAAAGAAACACCATGTTATGTAAAGTTTTAATTGATGATGTAATTGTTTGGAACATTTGGGGCAATAAATAGTTTATCAATGAAAAAGTAATTTGGCATCTTGAACCAGGTCTTGTTTATTCTATTTCCTTTGAGGTGGAGTAAAAGTTTTTGTAACATCCCCATTGTCCACAATATCTTTGCTTTAACAGTTTAATTCTGTTTAGAGAACAGTTCCTTTTCTCTGTTTTAAATAATTGTTTCATCACTATATTTTTCAAAATGTAATTTACAATATGAAAGTTGGTTTCTTATAACTTTTGGTTGGAGGTGGAGGATAAGTTAGCACTGCAGCAGAAAACCATTCTTCCACAGCAGAACTTCTAAGACATTACGGAACAGGCAAAGCAAAGACAGTTTATTTCATGGATAAAGAAGGTTAAAGTAGGAAAACAGTAGAGACAGTGTACTCCAAGGGTAAAGAAAAAAGGACAGAGAATTTGAAAGTCTGTGCTCAGCATGGGCTTTAGGCAAGTTCCACTAAGCTTTCTCATTTTATTCCTCCTTTGGCTTTCTAACTTTCCTATGTAACTACCTGATGGAGGGCCTAGTTCCTATTTCTTTGTTAATATTTTGTTCATACAACCTCAGTTACAACTCTAGTCTCTGTATCTTAAAATAATATGAATAATAAGAAAAAATAAACTCTGTTTTGAAATAAAACATTCAAAAACTGAAATTGTTAGGAAAAAGTCCAATTTGAAGTGTGAAAATACAAAGGCATGTGATGCAAGAATACAAGATGTTCTACAACTAGAGGAACTAAAGAAGCTACACCCTGCAAATCCACTGCACTTGGCTTATGACCCAGCTCTTCCACTACCTTGTGCCAGTCTAGCTGGGCTACTGGCACCAATCACACTGGTGAGCTCAGTGCTAAGCATGTGCTTGATGGACAGTCCACATGAACTGCCTGGATGTTCCTTTTCAGAATAGCTGTGGTTGGAATTACAGCCGCCTTCATGAGAGTTCCCAAAACCCAGAAAGCCTCTGTGAACATCCCAGCTCTGAGACCTCTATGGCTGTTAGAGGCCAACAGGTTCAAAAGTTATTGGGTGGAAGGGAACTTAGTCAGAACCGTCACCTAGAAGGAGTTAACCAAGGACACCCAGCTAAAATAGTCAGAAAACAGCAAACTCCAGGCAAAATTTTAAGAATTAATTCCTGCAAGTACTGAGAAGCACATCTTGCTTACCCTCAATTTCTGCCTATTAGCCAGGTTTGTCTATATTTTTATGAATTTGGATAACTGGATCATTATTGTTTGACAACTGTCAATTCCAGTGTAAATAAATCCTATAAATCATCTGTTTGGTGAAAAATATGACACAATATAAAACATGTAAGGAGGAACGTACCTGCCATTTCAGACCATATAAGTTACAGGGTTTTATTGTCTGCATTTATTTTCAATTGTGACCAAAGGTACCACATTCAGAAGTGCAGAAATACCTAAAAAAACCAAACAAAAACCCCTACTCCTGCAGTACTTGAATTATAATCGGAAATGCTGGAAAACTTCTGACAGAATTTGTTCATATAAGATTTCTGCCAGTTTTAAAAGAAGATTTCGATCAGCATAGATATGCATGCTGTTCTGTATGAACTTCTGAAACAAACCTCTTATTGTACCACTCTAAACCGTGAGCATTCCCACTTTGATAGTAAGATATAGTCAGGGAAGAGAGAGCAAGCTTGCAAGCTTTTGGGGGACCAGAATAATTTCTTTCTTCTCAGTTTGCAGAGTACTTAAGTGAGACACTGGGTCTTGCTCCATGACTGAGGTTTCTAGATTTGAAATAAACATGTTCAAGCAAGACTGCTAAATATAAAATAATGTATTTTGTATCATCAGTAGTGATATCTGTAATGGAACAACCCTGCATGTTAGTTGGAAATTATATCTCTAAAGTAAACTAAAGTGGAAAGTGTATTTCTAAAAAATCTTCTATTATAA